GCATCTGTAGCCAGAAGAACCTCCAATCAACATCTGTTGATACACCACCTATGTCCCTATCTGGACAGGCAGAACCTAGCAATGGTAATCCATGCTGTGGGAAGCTCGTATTTGGACTACTGTAACGTGGTTTATGTGGGACTGCCCTTGAACACAGTCCAGAAACTTCAATTGGTACAAAATAGGACAACTCATCTGCTGACAAGGACAGGCAAACATGAACATATAAGGCTTGTTCTCTATCACTTTCACTGATTGCCAGTTGAAGTCCAGACCAGCTTTAAAGTGCTTACAGTGTTGTATAAAGCCCTAAATGGATTATGGCCTGGATATCTAAAGGAACGTCTCCTCCCATATACACTTACACAGACCCTAGGATCATCTACACAGGTCCTTTCTGGGAGGAAGGTGGCCACTAGGGGAAGAGCCTTCTTGGATGTGGCAGAACCAGCTCCCCAGGGAGGTGCATCTGGTGCTGACCCCTTTATACATTCCAGTGCCAGGTCAAGACCTATTTATTTTCTCAATATTTTAATTACTAAATTACGCAATTTTATACTGGTTTTTATTCATATTATCATTGGTATATGATGGAATAGCTGTTATTTTGATGTTATATATTGTTATTATTCTTTGTTAACTGTTGTATATACTGTTTGAATCTTGATGTTCATAGTTCAAGTCCTAGTGACATCAGATTTCTTTATTATGTCATGTTTTATATGATTATGGTTGTACATCATTCTGAGAGCTTTCTTGCTGAATAAATGGTCTATAAAAGCCATAAATACATTCATACTGATCCAACTAACCTAGTATAGTTGACACTGACTTGTAGTTGCTCTCCAGGGTTTTCAGTAGGATTCTCTCTCAGTCCTGCTTTGAGATGCTGTGGATTGAACCTGGGGCCTTCTGCATACCAGGCAGGTCAACTACCACTGAGCTGTGGTCCTACCTATTGCTGGATCATGGTAACTAACAAGGAAAAGAGCCATATGAACCCACTTTCTCTGTAACCATATGAACCCGCTTTCTCAAAAACCTGGGTAATCAGAAGTGGGGGTGGGGTGGAGAGATAAGTCCTTTTGTCCTCTTGTTTGTATAAAGTCGAATACAGTTCAGAACTTCTGTTGTTCATTACCCTACTTGAGAATTCCTGAAGAAATGCTCTGGATGGAATTGAGAAAGACAGACCAGGATGGAGGAGAGAAGAGGAAAAGAAAAATGGTTATTGGAAATGGAACATAGGTAGAAAGATTTCCCCAAGCCAGGTGGCCCCTTTCATGAGGTGCAGGAATATATATACTTAGGGCTATATATATATAAATTGTTTTTAGGAAGTGAGATAGTTCATGATGGCTTCTTTTTTTAAAATGATAGAACATACTTAAAGCTCTAGAACCTCCTGGATAATGGCATCATATATTCTTGACTCTTCTTTTGCTATAATCTGTCTATAGCTATGTGGCAAAAGTTAAAATAGAGGGGGAGGACAAAATATAAAGAATAAAGTTTGCAGAGATTGATTATATCCTTTGCTGTGCAGAAGCTACTGAACTTATGTAGAAGCCAAAGTCTGAAATGGTAAAATTCTGAAATACTGAAATACCAGTATTTCACAGAGTGCACTTTCTGTCTCTGCCCTTGCCCCTCTGCCTTCAAAATTTTATGCAAGCAAGTCCCTGGCAGTGGGCATATAAGCATAGGAAAAAACAAAACAATGAGCAGACTGTTCAAGTCTCCCTTCTCATTTAAAAGTCTGGCACATTCATGCCACATTTCATGTTGCCCTTCTAAATAAGTCCTATGGTCTAGTAATGTGCAAGGGAAAAGGCAAGCTTATACGAAGAAACATAGAAAACAGAGTGAGTCAGAAGGGGTCTCCCGGGCCATCTAGTCTGACCTCCGGCACCAGCCGGCTCTGCTCACGACATGCCCACCATGTGGACGTCCAGCTGATGGAACGGCTAGCTCAAAGTATAGATCCTGGTCTAATAGTTCTCCTTCGTGATCTGTGTGCATCAGATCACGTGCTCTGTGCTCTGTGTGGTACACACGTGCTCTGTGCTCTGGCTCTGTGCTCATGTGTGGTGCTTGTTCAGAAGTTTCCAAAGCTGATTAATTAGTATTTGGTGGGAGCCTGGCCTCTAGGCATGACCAGTATGTGGGAGGGGCCCCCATTGAATTTCTTTGCAATTGTTCTTTGGCTACCATTGTGAGCAATTCAGGAAGTTCTTCCCCTGCTTCACGTACCTTATTTTTTTCCAGCATCTCCCCCTCATTTGTTTTTTTTTTTTTTCTCCAATGTTCTTTGGTCATCTCTTCTCTCTTCTCCTACCAAGAAAGCAAGACAGACAGACAGACAGACATTTCAGAAAAACTTAGCCTCGGGTCGTGAACTCCACATCGGGTGACGATTGCGATCATGCGCATCTTCCCTGACTGAGCGTGACCGCGCTCGTGCCCATCTATGCAGTCGCGATCACGCAGGGAAGACAGGCGCAATTGCAGTCATGCTGTTCTGGGGAGATGTTATCCGATGCTTAGCTGCTGGGGTGATGCTGGGGTGACTTGACTTGCGTGTCGACAGAGAGGGCTCTGCGTGCCTGCTGCGGCACACGTGCCATAGGTTTGCCACCACTGACCTGGATGTTTGAACCAGAGCAGACTACCTTCAGTAAGGCCATCCTCTCTTTCCTCCCTTGTTGAGTGACATCACCTCCTCTGAGAGGTAAGCTTACCAGTCGCCCATATGTATGATGCCCAGAGGCCACAAAGGAGAAAGTCAGGTTGCCTACCTGTAACTTTCATTCCCTGAGTGGTCATCTGTGCATTCACACATACCCACCTGCCATCCGCACTAGTGTCACTTTCTGACACCATGTTCAGGTATCTCTCCCTCACCATTGCACAGGGAGGAACAGTATTGGATTGCAGTCTCATATGGAACTGAAGTCTTGGTGGGAGCCCCACCCCATAAGTTGGGCATGTCTAGGTGCTGGGCCTCTGCCAAATACTAATTAATCATTTCTGGAAACTTCTCAAATAAGCTCCACACATGCACGCAGAGCCCATAGGTGTGAATGCCTGGAGAACTAATCAAAGAATGAAAGTTACAGATAGGCAACTTGCCTTTTTCAGGTTCTCCCTTCTTGAGATATCTCTGGGCTCCTGAGCCTTTAACACCCATTCCTGGCCATTTTATGGCCTACCAGTGCATTTCCCGGATTCCCTTTTGGCACATGCAGCATGCATCCCTTCCTAACTGTGTCTGGGGCACCATTCCACATCCTGTGTCCCATCAACTCCATCAATTATGGTTTGTGGTAAGTGACAGTGGGAATCGTAGTGTAAACCATCTGGATGGAGAGGACTGGTCTGAAAGATCCAAGCCTTGCTGGGTTCTATTTGCATATAAAGAAAAAGTCATTGTCAATGGTATTGGGTTGAATGCTTCTTATTGAGCATCAGTGGAAAGGCTAGAAGACATAGGTGTCAGGCCTTCTCTGCTGTTTGTCTTCTGTGCCTTGGACAATGCTCAGGCAAGCAGCCAAGACATAAGTCACTCTCATACAAACTGCAAGGGTGAAGGAATGTGACTGGTGAGGGATAAAACAGATGCACTTGGAACAGATGGGAGCATCCTGCCTCCATGCTGTGCAGAGTTGTAGCCCAGCTGCTGCTTGCTGTGAGCTCAGCAACATGGTGGGTGTGATCCATACTTGATGGGCAGCTGCCTGTAGAGAGAAGAGTTCTCTGTGGAGCTGGGGAAAGGGAAAACTGTAAGCCACAGCTGATCACACATAGTTCAAGTGTGGGCATGCCTGATGGCATGTAGTTGAGGTGATGGTGAAGTAAGAATACTGCTGCTGGAGTGTGTCAGGCTCCCCATGACATCAGTGCATCAAGCATTCCCTCTTCCTTAGGAAATGAAGGAAGAATGCATGAGTGTGCTTTTACCTGTCCTGTTCTCCTCTTGAAACTGAGCAGGGCCTTTGTGGGTGAAAGCACATACAACTTGCATCGCTTTGAACCCTGCTTTCTGATTCTGAAAAATGCAGACATAATTTGAATAAATAAAACACATTCATAGATCATTTGAAATAGCACTGTTTAAAGTTTTGAATATTTAGGATGTGATTTAACACAGCTAGCTCTTGTCTCTAGAGCCCCTGTCTTCTAGAAATTGGCTTTGCTTTAGTGTCCTTGTATCTGTACACAGAATGCCAAATGGACATCCAGTGACTTCCCAATTATTTTCTTTGTAGCCATGTTCATATGATTAGCACAGCTCACCATGGCTTTTTTAAGGTTCAGAGAGTCAGTATAGGCTAATAGGCAGGATAGAAATCTAATAAATAATTAAGTTTCAGGATGTTCCAAGTTATTGTTAGCAGACAAGGCTATGACTTGTTAGATCAATTGCAGCCTTCTGAAAGCACAAATACCAAAACCTGGTTTTTATTTTTTGAATCTTTTGCACATGTTTCACCTATTTGTTTAGGTAGACATGTATTCCCACAGATTGTTTATCTTGCTTTCTAGTTACAGGCATTGCTGGGCACTTCTACTGTTGCTATGAAGTGCTTCAGTCATGTCTACATACTTAAAGAGAGGAAGCATTTTTCCTTCTAAAATACATATTCTTAGCTTTTCAGCCTTGAAATCACTTTTATTATGGGTATAGAAAGTTAGAAGTACCCATTTCAGCCTCCTCAAAGAATATGGCACATAAGTAAGCATTACCTGAGTTTGCCACAGGAACAGAAACTGAGCTGCTTTATTTCAGTTCCTTTCTTCTAATTTGATTCTCATTTCTCTAAATACATTGTTTTCTGATTTTGTATTTGGAGTTGAGGAGATTCACTCTGTGTGACGTTTGTTTAATACGTATCCTACTCTTCTCTTTGTAGCAGTCTAAAAATAAAAACCAAACAAACAAAACCCTCTTTTGCTGTTAGACTGCGAACTTTATTAAGCTAATGTTATCATTCTTCCAGCACTGTGAAGGCCTTGGTGTCTTGTGAAGTATGTGAAACCCCAGAGGAAATTCCGGAACCACTAAAACAGTGTGCAGCTTGGCTTCAGGCCTATTTCTGTGAGCCCTGGATGACAGAGAAGCTTCCAATGCCTTCTTTCCACCACCCACTTCTAGAGCAAGGTCTGTATATCTAGAAGTGTTGCATTTAGTGTTTGTTATATACCCTTTAAACTTTTCCCCACTGCATGGGGGGTGCTTACCTGTGAGTAGCTTCCTTCTAGCTAAGAAATGAATTAGGTGACCTAATAATACGGGCAGCAGCCAATACATGGGTATCTCCTATGAAATAAACATTCTTCCTCTTTCCTTGGTGCAGTAATGATTCTATGGGAAAGGCCCATACAATCAACACCTGTCAATATGGTTGTGTCAATTAAGTATTTTATTTATTTATATGCTGTCCTATAACATAAAGGGCACTTTAGGTGGCTTACAATAAAAGCACAGACAATAACAATAAAATCAACAGTACAAGAATAAAATAAAGAATCTGATATGCAGGGCAAAAAAATCACAGCAAACTGCAGTATGTTAAACAATGTTAAAAACCAAATTGGCTACTAAAAACACTTGTTCTCTTTTTAAAAAAGTCTTTAGCTGACACCCAAAGGCACGAGTGATGGCACCAGGTGTGCTTCCTTAGGGAGGGTGTTCCATAAGTGAGGTGCAATCACAAAGAAGGCCCTTCTCCTAGCTATTTCTTCTTTCACTTCATTAGTGGGAAGAAAGTGATATATGGAGAAAGGCATTTCCTCGGATATTGTGACCCCAAGCTGTTTACACCCTTTTATGTTGGTGTGAAGAATTTTTTTATTAAACATTTTTTAAATTTTTAAAAACATTTTATTGATTATACACACAACTGACCATTTAATGGGCTGAAAGAGATAGGATGTATTTACAAAGCTGCATTTAAAATTTACACATTTTAAGACATTCCCAATATTTGACATATTAGCTTTGGCATGAAGTTACAAACACAAATCCTCAGTATTTCAATTTGCTGGGTTTTTCCTAAATCAGATAATTTAAGAATAAACAGTGAGATTATGTGAAACTGCAGGTTTTGAAACAGATGTTTAATGTATTGTTGCTATTAAGACTTTTTAAAGTATAGACACGAGGGGGTTGTTTTGCTGTATTTTAATTAGCTCAATTTCTCTCTAACTGATATCTGACAGCAGAAATTATAGCAATCTAATTTTTCAGTTATAATATAGGGATGATAACAAAAAATCAACTGCAGTTCTAAAGGATGGTACTGAATCCTGTCTAAGAATTATGCCCAAACAACCACATGTTCAGCAGTGTTTCCATTCTGGCAAGCAGTGGCAGAGGATACTGGGTGTTTTTTTCATATTCCAGAAGTATTTGTGCATTTCTTTTAGGAGTTCTGCCTTTTGGGCAAATTTTCATTTTTTCCCTTTTCTCTGTCTTTCACCAAAGCACATCTATGCAGTTATGGGAATCTGAAAAGCCTTGCTTGGTCAGTGTCTGTTGTCAAAGTACACTAGGTACCAACTATAGACATTGACCAAGGGAAGCTGCAAATAGGTTGCATTGTGTTCATTTTATGAATGTCAGATGGTAAGTGGTCAAGTGAAAGGAAAGATACGAGGAGATACTTGCTTGCAAAATGGGGTGGTATGTAGATCTACAGACTCTTAAATGGCATTGATTATCTGGATCTATTTCAGTCAGGGTTCAGGATGGGTTTTCGTGCAGAAATTGCTAAAATTTAGCATAGAAATTGCTTTGATCACCCTGTATGATGACTTACGCTTATGGAGAGAGATAGGGAATGCAACCCAGTTGATACTTCTGGATTTCAATGGCTTTTGAAAGCATGGACCATGGTAATCTTCTAGGATGAGTTGGGAGTGCAGAATACTGCATCACAGTGGTTCCACTCCTGCTTGGAGGGTCAGCTTTGGAAGAAAGTGCTTGAACATTGCTTGGCCCATCGATTGTCCAGCATGGGATTCCTCAGAGGACAGTCCTGTCCCCTATTCAATTCAGAATCTACATGAAACTGCTGGATGGGGTCATCCAGAGGTTTGGGAGCACACTGATGACACGCAGCTCTATATCTCATTTTCATTTTCAGCAGGTGAAGCTATGACAATGGACTGGGTGAGGGTGAACAAACTGAAGCTCAATCCAGGCAAGATTGAGATGCTGTTGGTGGGCAGTTCCTTTGACCAGGTGGAGGGCACTAAACCTGTTCTAGATGAGGTTGCACTCCCCTTGAAGGAGCAGGTTCAAAGCTTGAGGGCTGCTCCTTGAGCCATCTTTGTCACTTGAGGCCCAGTTGATCTTAGTGCCAGTTTTGGCTGGTGGCTTAACTACATCACCATCTGGACAGAGAGAATCTGACTTCAATGCTTTCTGCTCTAGTAATCTCTAAACTAGATTATTGCAATGTGCTTTATGTAGGGCTGCCCCTGAAGACAGTTTAGAACTGGAAGCTTATGCAAAATGTGACAAACTGTAATAAACTGGACTATCCAAACATATAACTTTTGTCCCAACTCACTTGCATAGGTTGCCCATATGCTTCTGAAGGTGGTGGTTTTAATCTCTAAAGCCCTACCTAACTTCAAGCCACAATGCCTGACTGAACACCACTCACAGCCACATGGTACATGGATACTCCTCTCCATATTTGAGACCTCCAAATACCTTCCCTAAAGGAGCCTTAGCTGGTGGCAAAAAGGAAGAGGGCCTTCTCAGTGGTAGCCCCCAAATTATGGAATGATCTCCCCACAGAAGTCTGCTTGGCATGATCTTTACTATCTTTACTGTGGCATCAGGTAAAGACTGCTGAGGCATATACCAATTTCTAATAGTACAGGACGGTCAGGGAATGTATTGTCAGTTGTTTTTCTGCAGTCATAACAGTATGAATTCATTTTACCTGTTTAATTATAAGAATGTGCTTTAAAATGTGGTTTTTAAAAATTAATCTAATTTTATTACATTGTTCTTTTTTCTATGTTATGCTTGATTAAATTGATTTTTGTTCACTGGCCAGATACCTTTGGCTTTTGAGCAGTGAACAAATTAAGGAAATGAATAAATAAATCATTTCATTCATGATAAAGATTTGTCTGGCCCTGAGAGAGCTCCATATTCTATACCTGTTGCCCCATTTCCCAAGACTCCGGGTATTCAAGAAAGTGGGAAAGGTCAAGCCACCCCATTTATGGTGTCGTGAGTCAGGCATCCCTTCCCAACTAACGCAATCACTCCAGCAATTGCTAAAAGAGTCTTTATTCCAGACAGCTACGAAGTGTTCACAAACTCCAAAAGTACACTCAAGGTAGAAAGTTGACCTCTTGCTCTGACTAACATCACCCCAAACTTTGCTTATGAACCCTTCGGGGCTGGTCTCTGGAGGGAGGTGCACTCTGGACGTGTACTTGCTTGCTGCTCCTCCAATCGCATTTCCAGTTTACGAGTAAGCCTGTGCAATCAAGCATCCTAAACTCCCACGGAACTCTCACCAGCTTGTTCTCTATCAGCTTCTTTCCCACAATCAAGAATAGTAGGGGGTGCCATGTTTGTCCTTGAAGTGCTTTGATCCTCCTCTGTCTTAGATTGGCCCCCTGGGGATGGTTCGCCACCTGAAGCCTCACCCATCTCAACAACTCCAATCTCAGAGTGAGAACTCTGAGTTTCTACTGGGACAAATATTAACTCCCCTTCTTCTAAGCTTTTGTTCCCACCAGAGCCCTTGATATCTCTCTCTCTCTCTCTCTCTCTCTCTCTCTCTCTCTCTCTCTCTCTTTCTTTCTGATTGAACTTCTATGCCGCCCCATTCGCCGAAGCCCTCCAAGTACTTACCCTCCTAATTTCCTTCACGGAGGGTTCCCGGAGAAGGGCCTCTCCCGCTGATCTCAAGGGGTGGGTGGGCATATATGGACATAAGCACTCCTTCAGGACCCAAGCCGTTAAGGGCTTTATAGGTTATAACCAACACCTTGAATTGGGCCTGGACTTCAGTGGGGAGCCAGTGATGCTGACGGAGAACTGGAGTCATGTGAACATAATGCCCAGTCCCCGTCAGCAGCCTGGCAGCTCTATTTTAAACCTGGGAATCTCATCCGAATGTGCACACACAACATATGGTAGCACTTTTTTCTTTTACAAGCAGATTTTTTGACAAGACTAATCAGCGTTGTTTGACAGTGGTATATGCATACTTTGCTGTCTACTCCAAAGAGTCTAGTGACTAGTTGGGATAACTTGAGAAGCCTTTCTGCAAATGCTCAAGGGTATTTTGTCTTAGTTGCATGTGTGCATCCCCAGTCTGTGTTTATTTAGAATTACAATTACTTTGAATTACTTAGAATTATTTCAATTCAATTGCTTAGCATTACTTACAATTTTACAAAAGTAAAATTGGCATGCCTCCTAAAAGAGTAGTATGTCAAAAATAAATGAAACTGACCAGTCTTACATCATGTTCATTCTTCTTGGTTTCTTTGTTCACAGAGAACTTTTTGAATGCTTAACATTTTGTGCCCAGGCTTGCACAGTCCAGCATCCTCTTCATGCAGTAGCAAACCAGTTGCTCCTAGGAAGCCCACAAGCAGGACAGGAGTCCAACAGCCCCCTGTCCTGACCAAGTTTTTCCTTAACTGTATACATAGTCATACTTCATCAGATATAGGAGGTAGCTGATAAAGGGTACTGCATGACATTGGTCATTGGGATCCTATTACCACTTGGACTTGATGTCACCTTTCCCATTTTGTGGTATATATTATAGTGGAACTTCTCTTCTTGTGATTTGGAGTAACCTCCAGCCATTTTGAAGGGGTTTAGCATTTTTGATTCTGCCTTTCAACTAATTCCATCATTTCGAAGACATTTTCTCTGCTGAAGTAAAATGTGACTGTGTTGGACTTCCTAGGCAACTGTCATCTGAATTAGTTAAGGATGGTTAACAAATCATCTTACAATGGGGCATGGGTTCTTGCTGGTTTACAAACCACCCAAGCAGGTCACCCCCATTGGGTTCAGATAATATTAGAAGTCCTGCCTGGCAGGAGTAATTATGGAAATCAGGCCAGTGCATGCAGGGTAGTTAACAAGCTTATTAACCATGCTTTATT